CGCATCCCCTGGTACAAAGCGGCGTGGTGGGCACAGAGAGGGGCCTGCTCCTGCTGCGTCCCGGCGGTCAGGGGGCTGACGCGGGCGTCGTCAGTGAGGAGCATGGTGTTCTCCTCGAGCGCCTTGTCGCCACACTGCACCCGCGGGGCCAGCAGCGTGACCCGGCCCGTCTCGGCGTGCCGCCAGCCCACCCGATGAGCCATGCAGGGGATGCCCTCGTCCTCGGTGTCCGACTCGTCGCGCGGCTTGGGGCCCTCCTCCGCGGGCGTCGTGGGCTTGCGCCTGCGGCGCGGGCAGCAGCAGCAGGGGAGGCAGCAGAGGCCGCCGGCGCCTCGGACGAGGCCCCAGGCGCAGCCTGGGATCCCACGGATGCCCCGCGAGGTGCGGACGCAGCACCAGCCGAGCGGAGTGTGCTCGGCGAGGTCGTCGAGGTCGACCACCGCGTCGGCCGCGACCACCGCGTAGGACTGCAGGTGGGCCTTCAACGGTTCGCACTCCTGGCAGGGGCCCACCTTGCGGCAGAGGTGGAGCCTCTTGGTGGCCGCCCTCTCCAGGTCCTTCCTCAGTCGCCGTGAGGTGGCCCCGTAGACGGTGTCGTAGTCGATGATCAGGCCGTGGGCATTCGTCCGCGCGTCGCTCCACTTGAGCGGGACGCGCGCCACCTGGCCGTCCACGGAGAAGACCACGTGGCGGGGGTTGCCCGCGCGGAGGGCGGTCTTCAGGTCACGGTAGAAGTTCGTCGGGGGCTCCTTCTCCAGACCCGGGCCGTAGAGCTGAACCTGCTGCGGGTCACGGTTGATCTGGTCGGCCGTGGTCACGGGTATAGTACGCTGGCCCTTGCTGCAGCACACGCCCCAGAGGAAACCGGCCACTGCACGGAGTGGGACGCATGCCCGCTGGATGAGCTCCATCAGCCACACACACATTGTCAAGCACAAAAGGACGAGCACCACGCCGAAAGCAATCCGCCCGCCCAAGATGAAGGTGTCCCAGCTTGGCCCGAAGAGAAAACGGCCTGCTCGCCTGACGGGGTCGCTGAAGAATCCTCCTTCGTCCAGTGGGGCCTCCACGACGACAAAGAAGGAGGCCACGAAGCGGTACCCGAGGATGAAGACGCCGGGGAACTCGTCGTCGCCGTGCTCGTCGTATCCGTCCCCGTCGCCAGTGTTGTCCGTCGGGCCCGCGTCGTCGGGCGGGCCGGCCGACCTGTTCGTCACGTTGCTTGGGTTCGCGCCGCAGGAGCTCTCGTTCGCCATGCTGAGGTTGGCCTTCTGCTTCCCGTCCGTCCTGCTGGCGTTGGCCTGCCTCGCCGCCCCACGACGCCGATCATGTACGTAGTCCCAGAAATCGTCCCAGAACTCCAGCGCCCCAGCCGGGGCCAGCACCAGCGCCGGAGGCAGCAGCGCCCGCGGCCGTCCGTGCGCCAGGAGGCCAGCCAGGGCCGGCACCAGTGCCATGGCCACCGGCAGAGGCATGGGGCGCTACCGTGCGCCCGTGGCGGGGCCCCACGTCGGGGGGGCCCAGGCTCGCGCGTCGGGGCGAGCCCGCTGTGGGAGCCACCCTTGAGCCCCCCACTCAAAAGAGCAGGGGAAAGTGGCTGAGGTTTCCCCCAACACTCCCAAGAACCTACGGTTTCGAAACGAGTTTCAAACCTACACATTCGGCACACCCCTCACACGTTTCGTGGCCCCATAAGGAGCTCTGCCGAAGGCCCAAGTGGTGCCGCCCGCATGCGTCACGCACACCCAATTCGGCACACCCCTCACACGTCTCGCGGCCCCATAGGGAGCTCCGCCGAAGGCCCCAATGCTGCCGCCCGCATGCGTCACGCACACCCAATTCGGCACACCCCTCACACGTTTCGTGGCCCCATAGGGAGCTCCGCCGAAAGCCCCAGTGCTGCCGCCCGCATGCGTCACCCACACCCAATTCGGCACACCCCTCACACGTTTCGTGGCCCCATAGGGAGCTCCGCCGAAGGCCCCAGTGCTGCCGCCCGCATGCGTCACGCACACCCAAGTCGCACACCCCTCACACGTTTCGTGGCCCCATAGGGAGCTCCACCGAAGGTCCCAGTGGGTGTGCCCGCATGCGTCCCGCACACCCATTTCGGCACACCCCTCACACGTTTCGTGGCCCCATAGGGAGCTCCACCGAAGGCCCCAGTGCTGCCGCCCGCATGCGTCCCGCACACCCATTTCGGCACACCCCTCACACGTTTCGTGGCCCCAAGGGAGCTCCACCGAAGGTCCCGTGGGTGTGCCCGCATGCGTCCCGCACACCCATTTCGGCACACGCTTCGTGGCCCCATAGGGGGCTCCACCGAAGGCCCCAGTGGGTGTGCCCACATGCGTCCCGCACACCCATTTCGGCACACCCCTCACGCGTTTCGTGCACGTCTCGCGGCCCCATAGGGAGCGAAGGCCCCAGTGGGTGTGCCCGCACGCACACCCATTTCGGCACACGCACGTTTCGTCGTGGCCCGCATGCGTAGGGAGCATAGGGAGCTCCACCGAAGGCCCCAGTGCTGCCGCCCGCATGCGTCCCGCACACCCATTTCGGCACACCCCTCACACGTTTCGTGGCCCCAAAGGGAGCTCCACCGAAGGTCCCGTTGGGTGTGCCCGCATGCGCCCCGCACACCCATTTCGGCATGCTCTTCACACGCTTCGTGGCCCCATAGGGGGCTCCACCGAAGGCCCCAGTGGGTGTGCCCACATGCGTCCCGCACACCCATTTCGGCACACCCCTCACGCGTTTCGTGATCCCTCACACGTCTCGCGGCCCCATAGGGAGCTCCACCGAAGGCCCCAGTGGGTGTGCCCGCATGCGTCCCGCACACCCATTTCGGCACACCCCTCGCACGTTTCGTGGCCCCGTAGGGGGCTCCACCGAAGGTCCCAGTGGGTGTGCCCGCATGCGTCCCGCACACCCATTTCGGCACACCCCTCACACGCATCGTGGCCCCATAGGGAGCTCCACCGAAGGTCCCAGTGGGTGTGCCCGCACGCGTCCCGCGCACCCAATTCGGCACACCCCTCACACGTTTCGTGGCCCCATAGGGAGCGCCACCGAAGAAGATATTCACATTTACGGTATTCACAATTGCATGTGGTTGGGTCTTTCGCCCGGATAATTAATTCCAAGCGGTTCTTTATTATATTTTGGCATCTGGGGGGGGGGGCTGGTTTTCGAGCCGTGGGGCCTTCAGAAATGGATCCAGCACGATTTCTGGGGCCTCGCACTCAAAATCATATCGTCTTATGTGAGCATATCGATACCGCTTCACCAGGGTCTCCGACGGGGTGCGTTCCGACCGAGCTTCCGAAGCGGATCAGGGCCTGCCACGAGGCCCCGCAAGAGGGACATTGAGGGGAAGGTGTTGGTATCAGCGTACAAGGAAGCTGGACACACACGCACACACACACAAACACAAACACAAACACAAACACAAACACAAACACAAACACAACCACAAACAGAAACACACACACACACACTAACTTCACACACACACAAACACATTCAAACACAAACACAAACACAGCAAACACACACAACCACACACAACACACAACACACAACACACAACACACAACACACACACACGCACGCACAACACACACACAACACATAGCACACACAACACACACACACACACTCGGGGGCGCGCAGACATGGATTAGCGATCCGTGGATTTGGCACGCGGGCGCCAACTCCATGGATCGGGGGAGGTGCCCCATCCTAAAATGCGGAAGATGCCGCCTCGTTCGGCGGCAGAAATCTGCGATTGCCCACGGAAGCAGGGCCCGTCGCTAATCCACGCCCCTTGATCCATGCTTGCGATTGCCTGATACCAGGAAGCTGGACACACACACACAACACACACAACACACAACACACACAACACACACAACACACAACACACACAACACACACACAACACACAACACACACAACACACACAACACACACAACACACACAACACACACAACACACACAACACACAACACACACACACAACACACACAACACACACAACACACAACACACACAACACACACAACACACACAACACACACAACACACAACACACACAACACACACAACACATACACAACACACGCACAACACACACAACACACACAACACACACGCACACAACACACACACACACAACACACACAACACACACACACGGCTGGATTCACATGTGGCACATGCAGAGGCCACTTGCGGAGGACCCCCGCATGCCTGGCCCCACGGGAGCCGAGCGCTGCAACGAACGACGTGCGGCCACGTGTGTATCCAGCTCTCGCCCAGGCTGGCCGCGCCATGTGTACTCAATCCCACCAGCCCTTTGGGCGACAGGCGGTCTCAGGAGGGTCTCTTTCCTCTTCCACAACCCCTCTTCTTATAAGGCGAGGGGGGCCCTCCCCCTCCCTTCCCTGAGGTTTTGTGGGAGGGGCGCCGATGTGTCAGAGGATCCAAGATGGCCTCAAGAGGCGCTCCAGGGCTCCCAAGGGGCACCCAAGAGGGCTCCAAGATCGCCCGAGAGGCCCCAAGAGGGCACCAAGAGGCACCCGAGAGGCACCCAAGAGGCCCCCGAGCGGCCTCATAGAGCCCAAGATGCCCTCCAAGATGGCTCAGATAGCCCAAGCTGGCTCAAGATGGCTCCCAAGATACTCCAAGCGGCCCCAAGACCGCTCCAAGACGGCTCGAGATGGCCACGGAGCCTCCCAAGCCTCCCTCGCTGTTTGACTATGCGTGTCTCTTTCTTTCTCTCCCTGTCAACTCTCATAGGCATCGTTTCTGGATGGGCTGGTGGGGATACTTTTTTGGTTCGCGGCTCCAAGGCGAGGGACATGGAGCGAGCACAACGTCCGGGGCGCGGTATGTAGATAATTGGCGCGAGATTGCCGCGGATTCCAGCGGATTCTGCTGGTGGGGATACGCGAAGCGTCAATCATTTCCCTTTAGAATCTTCTCCTCTGGCCACCGGCGTTGAGTCGGAGTAGCGGAGCGTCCCGCTGCCGCCGCGGCGGGGCTGCTTCCCGGGAGCGGCGAGCGGGCACGTGTCGGGCGGTGTCCCCCTACCGCACGAGGGCGGGCCGCCAGTCAGCGTGCCCGACGGCAGGCGGACCAGCCGGCCGTTGTTCGTCATCGGCAGCGGATGAGCGTTGGCCCGCGACTGGGTTTCGAAGAATCAGTGCTAGAGCCAGACCGGTTACGGGTGACTTTAGACCGGAGCGATGGGGGCAATGCCACTGTGGGGGGCGGTGGGAGGTGCAACACTTCGCCTGCGCGAAATATGGCGCGAAGTCTTGCGCTAACTACTGCTGGCGGGCACGAGCAAGTGTAAGGGGCGTAAACTATTGCGTTGACAAGAACACACGATTGCATCCATGAGAAAATGCTGCGTCCAGACCGCGAACTGCTGCATCCATGCAACAACCATTGCAAGTACTATTACACCCATGCGCCTACTCCAGCTGCGCCCCATCTGCGATACCCCCACTGCTCCGGCTTAGGGTGACACCCCGCGCGGTTGAGTGACAGCACCCGACATCTCCAAAATGGCGCGACGCCGCGACGAGTTACGGGCCAAGGAGCACCCCAACGGCATCCTGAACGGCACCTTAGCCAGGGGCCAAATGCCAATAGACCAGCTGAGTGAAATGCCGAGCGGCGCCCCCACGAAGGGGGCCACGAGAGATAGGCCTGGACAGTCGAGTGAAATCCTGGACGACGCAGGCGCCTCCCGCTTCAATCACCCCCACACACACATATGCGACGGACACCTCCTGAGCCTGGGGTGAATGTGGACCCGGCTTTCCTGGAAAGGCGAGCATCCTTGACGACCTGCCAGGCCGCGTTTGGTACTTGTTAGCCCGCACACCCTGGCCCCCCAGCAGACGGGGGTGGGCCCCGCGCCACCGCTCGATCCAATAGGTAGAGGTGCCCCGCCCTCGCGGATACTTCCCCACTGGGCGCTGCCCGTGGGGCAAGCCAGGCGCGCGCCGACTGCTGCTGCGAGCGGGGCGGGCTGCTGCTGCGGGCGAAGCCTCGAGCTGCGGCTCAAGGGAGGGCAGCACCATGCGCAGATCCCTCTTCGAAGGGGCCCCATCGCCCACTGAGGGAGGACTGATCGCCGCCCGCGACGCTTTCCTGGTTGCAAGCGTCGTCAGCTCAAGGGTCGAGGGGGCCCTACCCCCCCGCCAGGCCCAACTGGTGGGGACCCAATGCGCACCCCGTCGCGCCCGCATCCCGCGCCGCAAGCCATGCTTGGGTTGTTTTGAGACGCGCTGAAACTACCGCCTTTTTGCATGTCGTTGTGTCTCTTTGCTTGCGTAGCTTTGCTGTCCTGGTATGCTGAACTAAACGCTGCGCTGTGTTGTGCTGCTATGTGCTGTCCCACGTTGATAATCATTGCATTGTTTGTTTCGCACTTCTGAGAAAACTCGGTGTGCTTTGCTTTATTTTGAACTCCAAACCGGTGCGATGCAATGCAGGGCAACCGTGTTCTTTGCGTTGCGTGGTGAGTGCATGGCAACGCAGGACGATGCAAGGCAAACCAAATCGCTGCAACGCATTGCAGCGCAACGCATCGCAACGCAACACCAACTTCGCTATGCACTGCAATGCAAATCATGCAAACCAAACGCGCTGCGATGAATTGCAACGACTTGCAACGCATAAAAGACATTCATAGGAACAACGCCAGCAAGCCCCAAATCGAATCGATAAGTCAGGTCGGCGATCGAAATTAATCGGATCGGCGGAAATCGGCAACCGAATCGGGAGAAGTCGAACCAGTGGACATCGGCAAGTCAGTAGGTCTCCATTGAGAGATAGAAGCCCCAATCGGAATCCGAAGTCGAGTCGAAGCAGAATTCGAAACCATCGAACTCGAATCGAATCGAATGGGGAATCGAAACTGGCCATGTACTGGACAACTGCGCGAGCTCCGCCCGCATAGGAGGAGGATGGCAGACGGGGGCATTGGCCCTCTCGGAGGGCGCCGGGGCTCCTCAGAAGCCCTCCCGCCCTCTGCGGTCGGGAACTTTCTCTCCGCGTGCCACGGCGGCGGCCCCGGCGACACGCTGTGCCTTGCTCCGATCCACGGGGCGGGAGGCTCCAGAAAGAGGAGGACGAGGAGGAGGACGAGGAGGAGGACGAGGAGGAGGACGAGGAGGAGGAGGAGGAGGACGAGGAGGAGGACGAGGAGGAGGACGAGGACGTTGATGCTCGGGGTCTGGGAGGCGGATGGCGTGTCGCGCCGAGGCGTGGTGGGCGAGGACCGGCGGCGCGAGAGACGCTGCCCACAAGTCTTTGGCCGCAGGAAGCCTTCGGAGCCTTCCCCCGAAGACAACACAAAAGGGCTTCGAAGAAGGCTTGGAAGCCCGGGCCCGGGCCCGAGCCCGAGCCGAGCTCGAGCCCGAGCCCCGGTACAGGCCCGAGCACGAGCCCGGGTCCAGATGCTCAGTGGCCCTCACGCCTTCGGAGGAGCCCTCCGTGGCTTCGGAGGAGGCCCACAAGGCTTCCACGAAAGTCAAAAAGGCCTCTCAGAAGCCCGGCAGCCTGCTGAGAAGGCGAGCCTACCTCGCAGTCCCCCTCGGGCGAGCTGCCGATAGTCACGACGCTGTGGCGGCCAAGGTCCTCGGCGACGCTCGGGGTCGGGGGCGTCCACAAGGGGGGGCCTCCATAAGGGTTGTTCTCAAATCATGGCCCGAGGCATGTGCGCGGCCCAGGGGGGGGGGGCCAGGGGACGCACAAACATAAGAAGAGGCGCCATGAAGTCTGGGGAGAGATCATATCCATAGCCATGCGATCTACCCCTTGAGTCATCACCCCCCTCTTGGCCGCCCCCGATCATTTCTTGCCGGCGGCACCTGAGGTCCAAGAAGCGGCAGAGACAACCTAGAAAAGAAGAATAACGATCTGGGGGCAGGGGGTCCTGGTCGCGTGCTCCGCGCGGCGCGGGTCGCGATGTTGGGCGCCGCGCCGTCGTCGTCGTCGTCGTCGTCGTCGTCGTCGTCGTCGTCGTCGTCTGCTTCAGGAGCCCAGGTAGGATCGGGGCAGGCGGTGGCCTTAAGTCTGCCACGTTGCAGGGGTTCGCGGCCGACGGGTGCGGCGAGGCTTCCGAGCGATGGGGCTCTACGGTCGGGAACCTTTGCTTAGCTAGGTGGCGCGCGAGGGGCGGAAATGAGAAGGAGAATGCCTTCTCAGAAGGCGGCGGGACTTCTCAGAAGCCCTCCCTCCTTCTGAGACGTTTTCTGCGTCTTCTGGCAAGGCTTCGAACACTTCTCAGAAGGCCCGGGAACTTCCGAGCCTTCTGAGAAGGCCTTCTCCCTCTCACTTTCCTCCCGTGCTCGCCGCCGATTAGCGTGTCGCGGCGGCGTCCCCAGCGACGCGCTGTGCCTTGCGAGCGGATAGCGTGTCGCTCCGCTCCGCGGGGCGGGAGGCTCGGAAGAGCTCGGGACGTTGACGCTCTGGAGCGGGGACTTGGACAGCGCGTCGCGCCGAAGCGCTGTGGGCCAGAACGAACAGAGCGACACGCTGAGCCAAAATTCCTGACCGTAGCCCGGCTGGTGCTGACCAGCGGAATCGGCGACGCCCCCAAGGAACTCTCGAGGCGGAGAAAACAGCCCCTCAAAGCAAGCACTGTTTTGTGAATAATCCGCGATCTGTGATGCAGTTGGCCGTCGGTGGTCGAAGATGACGGCGTGTGTGAGACGGTGATGGTGGCGAGCGACCGCTGACTGGAAATGATGGTCAGAGAGAGTGGTCGACGACGACGGTGGTGGCAGGGCCATGACGTGATCGATAAGGAAAGGATCGAGGCGCAGTGAAGGCCCGACACGGTTCGCTCATCGGCCATCTGGATGTCCACCTGTGGGTGGGGGCGGCGGGGGAGAAGCGGGGAGGGCACGGGGGGAAAGGGAGCGAGAGGATGGGGACGGAGAGGGGAAGGACGGACGGAAGCAGGAGAGACGGGGCAGGGAACAGAGACGGGGCGGGAATAAGGAGGGGGAGGCGAGAGGAGGGGGAGTAGGGGGGGGGGGGGGAGGGGAAGGGGTGGAAAGGAGATAAGGGAGGCGAAGGGAAGGAAGGTGAAGGGGTGGGAAGGGGGAGAGGGGGGAAGGAGGCTCCTCCTCTCCTCGTCCTCGTCCTCGTCGTCCTCCCACCCTTCCCCCTTCAAAATGTCAACCTCTTCGTCATCGTCGTCGCCCTATTCTCCCTGCTAAACCATCCTTTTGCTTCCTCACTCTTCCCGCTTTCTGGCTGCTCCCCGCTCCCTGCTCTTTTCTTCCCTCATCCCTTCTCCCTCCTTCCCCTCCCTGCTTCGTGTTCTCACTCGCATCCTCTGCCTTCCCTCCTCGACCCTCCCTGCTCGCCGTTCGCTGCCGGTTCCTTGCTGGTCGTTGCTCGTTCCTCTCCCCTCCCTCGCGCCCGAGCTCTCCCCTCCCTTTCCCTCCCCCCCCCCTCCTCCTCCTCTTCCTCCTCCTCCTCCTCCTCCTCCTCCAATCCTCGTTCCTCCCTCTCCTCCCTCCTCTTCACTCTCGTACTCTTCCTGCTCCGTGTGGGCACCTCCTGTTCCACTTCAAGGCAGACGGGGTTGGCAAGACAAAATGAAGGGTGGAACGGAGGGATGAGGAGGATGAAGGGGGGAGAACGATGAGTAGGAACAGGAGGTGCCAGGAGTGGTACGGCGACGAGAGCGAGGAGAAATAGTCAGAAAAGAACACGTTGGATGGGGCGACGAATAGGAGGCAAGCGGGGGACATGGCGAAGCAGCCAACGAATACGGAAGGGAATACTAGGGATGGCGAGCCTGATTATGCCGACACTGATCATGCATACGATGAAGATGGTGAGAACAATGGTAATGCACACGATGATGATACTGACGGGTGTTACGAGGTTGACCAAATCAAATAATGGAATGAGGAGCATGGGGTAGTGAGGCAAGCAGGTAGGGTGGGGAGAAGAGAAATCCGAGGATATGCGACCATCGCAATTCACCTCCAATATACGCCTTCCTTTCCAAAGTGTGGCAAACCACCTCGAAAGCCCGCCGCACAAACGGATGCATCGAAAGATGTGCATGTTGCAGAATGGCCAACCCTAGTCTCAATGTCTGGGTGCAAGTTGCAATCCTAGTTCCGTCGCATGGAACATGGGGGTGAGGAATGGTACCCCTTTCGGGCCGCAGTTGCGCCGCCAATGTTTGTCTGCGACGCGATTGTCGCGTTTCTCGACGACTCCCCTGTCCCCAAATGCTCTGGTGCAGCGAGTTGCTTGGGGGATGGTGGGTTCGTCGATGGCGTGAGTGCGCAGGGGAGCGGGGGTGGGTTGATACGCACGGGAGGGCGGGGGGATAACGATGTAGTTCGGTTTGTCCTGTAGCATTCAAACTAATTCTGACAAGTGTGGCCGGAGTTGTAGATGCAGGAGGAGCGAATCTTCGATTCCGCCAGCACGCCTTAGGAACGTCGAGCCCTTTTCTGAAAAGAAACCAAAACTGTTCCAGGGTGTTGAGGGTTTTCGTGCACGAGGGTGTCGTTCGATCGAACAGCAACGAACAAGACGCGCTGGGCCAGATCTTCAGCTGGTCCTGGGGGAAAGCATGTGGACACAACGAATTCATGGATCCTCCTCCTCCTCCTGAGGAAAAGGGGAGAAATCTTCGTTAGTAAACCAGAGAAACGTACTCCATCACGAGGCGGGCCCAACACAGATCAGCCTCGCGACACGGGCAATCCCACATTTTGTCTCGCCCAACTGGGCATCCCAAGACATCCGGCCGCTCCAATTTTTCGATGTGTGGGCCCTGGAGGTCTGGACCACTGCCCCGGGGCCGGTTTCTCGTCCTGGGTCGTCTTTTGACGCTCCCGAGGCCCGGCGAGGTCCCCTGGAGGCCGAAAACTGCCAAAATCCCGCCGCTACAATTTTTGTTGGAGCGTCGGATCTCTGGGTCGTTGACCTCCCTCTCCTCGGGGTGGAAGAGCGAGAGCCGAGACTTGTGGGCGTTCGACTCCTTCTGGGCCTGCAGCGCCTCGGGGTGGCCTCCAGGGGCCTGCTGAGGCCGCGGGGGACGTCCAGAGACCTTCCGAGGTCACGCGCCCACACTCTGCGTGTGCAGTAGGAGTTCGACCATAAGGAGCCTGCCACCAGAAGCCCCAACCCTGAGACCCCAGCACCTCCACTCATGTTTGGTGTGCGAACGTCGCGCTTTCCACAGCAAAACCATCGAAACCCAAGGAACCCAGGG